GCAGCACAAACGGAGAAAGAGAAAGCATATGCTTCTAACTTACGAAGTGGCCATATTCATGAAATTATGTTACGAGTACCAGCAACCATCACGATACAACTTTGCTGAAGGTCTATCAAGGAGTTAGTGAAGTAATAGAATTGCTTTCTCTTGAAGTTTTGAATTCCTATCAAGCAATTAGGGTTAAACCTAGTGTCGATAACATTAATGGAGAACTCCATGTTGTATTTGTAACTAAATGAAAGAATGCAGTAAACCTCCAAACATAGGTACACTTATCTAACCAAAGAAAAAATCTATTTGTTGTTACCATTGGACATTTATGTTGACGTTTAAGGAATCCAAATTATCCGAGTATCCTATTCGAACCGAGGAAGTCAATACTTTTCAGACATAAAACCATGCTTGATACCTTCCTGTCCCGGTGACAACAATTTGAGCTGGACAATCCAGAAAATTGTATAGCTCATCCAACTGCTGCTCAGATTCCACCACAATGACTGCCTTGTTGAGTGTTTCAGGAAAGAGCCTTGATGAAACATGAACTTCAACTCCGAGGGAAGTTTCTTGGTGTATAAACTGCTTTAATGCAGAAGAAGATATGTCCTTCTCCAGATAGTCAACCAGAAGAGCATATCGATCATTGCGCCGTCCGAAATCAGCATCTTCCCAATCATCTTATGTAAAGAGAATCTAAAATCAGTGATAGTATCTCTAAGATTGCATACATACAATGTTGTTGTTCAATCAACACTAACCTTCTTCCACGGACCGAGTTCCATTAGCAGGCTGATGATTGTCAACTCCATTTTTTGCCTACGAATAGGAAGGTTCAACATATTCAATCGTCAAATTCACTATGTCAAGTTCAACAATTGATTGTACAATGGGAATAAGAAGCTTACCTTAGAAGCAGAAGCAGAAGCAGCAATCTCCTTTCTTGCCATGTTGAAGAAACGGGTTACATCAGGATCAAGCTCTGAACCAGACTCAACAATGCGGATGTCCTCTATGCTTTTATGCCATACGTAGCCGTTCCATGGTCCCTTTTGCCAAACAACTGCAAACACACACTTGCAGACTTCCTTTCCGCTGGAAAACGAATGCTCTCTCGCAATAACCTAAAGAGGACAACAAAACCAAAATTCCGCCGTCAAAGAGCAATATAGGCTGAATTGTAGACGTTTTTGAAGGAAATTTTGAAGAGCGAACTTCATCGCAGGAGACGGCAATTTTGTACCGACATCGTCGACGGTGGCGTCGTAAAAGCGGTTGTCGTTTTCGTGGAAGGAGTGGGAGACGCAGACGGCCTTTCTCTTGCAGAGCTTCTTGCACTCGGAATCCTGGAGTCGCCTGGAGACGGATCGGAATCGAGATTCGTAGTCGCGTAGTTCGTCGAGATCGGAAAACCTATGCGGCTCCAAGACGAAGTCCAGGTCGTCGTACTTCACCGCGAGCTTCTTGCCACTGAGGATGACGCGGGCCGCGTACCACGCATCGTCAGCGAGAGAGCGGAACTCGAGGTTGTAACCTGATGGCGGCGAGAAGGATTTTCCGCCGGGAATGGCGGCTGTTGCCGACATTTTGGAAACCGGGATCAAGTTTGGTGTGTGGTTCTTGCAGAAATGGATTTCACTTTATTTATTAGGTCGACCGTATCGCTTTGATACCCCATATTGGGCCGAGCTCAGCCCATGATAAGTGGTTTGAATGTGAATATGTTAATATGTAATATTTGTCCCATTGTGTATAGGATGGCAATGGGTAGGGTTGGGTCGGGTTTGCCAAACCCAAACCCAAATTCATGGGTTTATCCTTGAAAAAAATTTGGGGTAAAACCCGTTGGGTTTGAAAAACTCAAACTCAACCCAACCCGCTGGGTATCCCAGGGTTCATGGGTAACCACGGGTTTTTGTCGTCAAAAATTCACAATAACAAATTTCTATCAAAATTCAAGTCAAATTACTCAAATATCAATCTCTCAATACAAATTATCCATATATACCATTATAGAAATTCAAGCAAATCACAAATTAGCTATACAAATTGTTTAACACCAATCTAGAAAACTCAAGAAAATTGAATCAATTCACAAATTATCCATAAATAACATGATTAATTGAAAGCTTCTTCCTTTCAATTAAGTTTTTCACTCTACACTCGATAACATCAATTTCATTCTACATAACTAAAAAGAAAAAAATTAGACATGTCTCCACAAACATAAATAAGATTAGTTGTTTAGAATATTAAATATGCCAATAAAATAATTATATGAGTGTGGGCGGGTACCCATGGGTCGGGTTTACCTAAACTCAAACCCAACCCAACCCGGTGAATAGTGAACGGGTTTAAACTCAAACCAGGCCCAAAACTCGTCAACACGTATTTTACCCGCGTTGACCGGGTTGGGTCGGGTGGGTACCCGTGGGTTCGAGTTTTGTTGCCATCCCTAATTGTGTAGAGGAGTTGGGTGTTAACTGTCGAGCAGAGCACCCATGCAAACTGTATGGTGATAATTAGAGATGGGTTCGGATACTGTTACTAAGCGGGTGTTTAGTCATTTAACTAAGCCTCTTTCGGCTCTTAGATCTGGATAAAACAATCTGATAGTTAAAAAGTGGGAAGAAGTATTTAATTTCACTTTACACTCGATAACATCAATTTCATTCTACATAACTAAAAAGAAAAAATTAGACATGTCTCCACAAACATAAATAAGATTAGTTGTTTAGAATATTAAATATGCCAATAAAATAATTATATGAGTGTGGGCGGGTACCCCTGGGTCGGGTTTACCTAAGCCCAAACCCAACCCAACCCGGTGAATAGTGAACGGGTTTAAACTCAAACCCGGCCCAAAACTCGTCAACACGGATTTTACCCGCGTTGACCGGGTTGGGTCGGGTGGGTACCCGTGGGTTCAGGTTTTGTTGCCATCCTTAATTGTGTAGAGGAGTTGGGTGTTAACTGTCGAGCAGAGCACCCATGCAAAATGTATGGTGATAATTAGAGATGGGTTGGGATACTGTTACTAAGCGGGTGTTTAGTCATTTAACTAAGCCTCTTTCGGCTCTTAGATCTGGATAAAACAATCTGATAGTTAAAAAGTGGGAAGAAGAATTTAATTAATGGCAGGTAGGTATGGCAATTTTGCCCAAACCATTGTTTTTTTACTATCCAACCCAATTGGGTTGGGTATCAAATCCAAATAGATGGATTTTGTACTCATACCCATTTACTTGGGTTGGGTTAGGTTTATAACAAATGGATTTGGGTTTGCATCCATGCCCAAATACAAATTACAGTTTGGTACATAAACTTAATAGATATGCATATTTAGTACCTAAATTTAATTTTTTTGCATATAAGTCCTCAAAATATTGATGGAAAATTACAATTGGTACCTAAATATTTTTGGTCTTACATTTTGGTACCTAAACTTTTCAAGTTTTATAAATAGGTCCAATTTTTGCATGTGTAATTAAAACACCCTCAAATAAATGGATATCCATATCCAACCCATACCCATTTAAATTATGGAAGCAATAGTCATACCTTATCCAAACCCATTTACAAACCCCCAAACCCATATGCACTTCACCCATACCCAACCCATAATGAATGGATCTACTTGGGTTTGGGTATAATTACACAAGGGTGGGTAATTGTCATCCCTAATGACAAGGGTAGTTTGGGTATTACGGAAAATTATGAAGTATACAAACCGGATTTACAACCAGTACAAACCATACAAACAGTACAAACTACAAATACAAAACATACAAACAGATTTACAAACATTACAAACGTCTGAACTGTACAAACAATACAAACTAGAAAGACAAACAATACAAACCTGGTTGTTTTTAAGACATACAACATTACAAACATGGTGGACAAAAATGTCAAACTAGACCGACAAACCATACGAACTGGAAAAAATACCCATGTTGACTTTGAGGCTCCATCTCTATATAGAAGAGTTCCATCCAAAAGTCAACCATGTTGTTTTTCAGACATTACAAACATGGTTGGCAAAAATGATAAATATGGTCAAAAAAATAACTGGTGGACCCTAAGAAAATTTTATTTTATTGAACGGAAACAACCCCACACTCCGGCCACCCCGGGGTCAAATACCTTGGCTTACCTAGCCCACCCCGAGATCAGTCCGGCCACCCGGGATCAAATACCTTGGGTCACCTTGGGGTCACTCCAGCCACCCATGGTCAAATACCGTGGGTCACCTTGGGGTCAGTCCGACCACCCCCGGGGTCACTCCGATCATCCGGTGTCAAATACCTTGGGTCACCTTGGGGTCACTCTGGCCACCCCAGGGTCAAATACCCATGGTTACATTGGGGTCACTCCGACCACCCCTGGGGTCAAATACCTTGGGTCACCTTGGGGTCACTCCGGCCACCCCCAGGGTCAAATACCTTGGGTCACTCCGGCCACCTCGTGGTCAACTACCCCGGGTCACCTCGGTTACCTTGGGCTCTCCGCCCACCCCAAGTCACCTCAACCTTTAGCCACGTACCCCCGCAACGTGTCTTCCCACCACACCACCAAGCTCTTGAAGGAGACACGTACTCCCTTCATGTTCGCCTGGGGGCCTCTATAAAAGGCCACTCCGTCTCCGGATTGAGGTATGCAAAAATCCCCATGCCTAAACCCGTGAACTCGCGCTATGATTAGCGTAGATGTTCATTTTCTACTCCATTCCTTCATCTTTCTTTTCGAGGACATATTCCTTTCCACTCAACCCACTCACTAACTTTAGCGTCGGAGAGTGTCCCCGCCGAGATCGGTCGACTAACCCTTTTTGCAGGAGACTACCGGAGCCTACATCACAAGTGAAGTTCGAGGTGAAAGGTGGTCTTCGACCAACTCCGGTGCCCAACATAAAAAAACTCAACGTCGGCTACAACCCCGAAATCAACAATTGGCGCCCACCGTGGGGCCTCGGAGCAAAAGGTTGAAGAAAACCTAGCACCATTACTTCACTCGGGATGGAGTCTCAAAGCTCCCTCCACCCCCAAACCGACGGCAGACTTCGAGACAAAAAGCCAGCTCCTCCGCCGTCTGTCAAAGAAATTCAAGTCCATGTTGAGAAGTTGAAAGCCCAAGTCCAAGCATTGACATCAGCTCTTCCTCCACCCCATGGGTTGCCTGCATGTTCTAGCCACCAACCGGAGACCACCGGAGGGTCAGCCTACCCCAATGGGACGTCAATCCCTCCTCCACCTCCACAACCATGGGATCTCTCATACCTTGAGGCCCACCTGACTCTCGGTTTCATGGCTGACCCTGGGCACGGCAAGCCTTTGGCACGTTCAATCCTGGACCAGCCCAACCCCCCGAACTTCCAAATGCCTCACCACCTTCCAGAATACTACGACACTTCCGACCCAGAGGATCACCTCAGTGCCTTCCAGATTTTGATGCCTTTCGTGGGGGCATCTGACGCTACCATGTGCAAACTCTTCCCCACAACCCTCTGGGAGTGGCATTTCAATGGTATATACTCAGTTGCGAAATGGCATAATCACCTGCTTTGAGGAGTTCGCCACCCTCTTTCGAGCCAAGGTTTTTGCCCAGAAACGGCCAAATGTGGATGTGTCTCGCCTCATGAGAACAAAACAAAGAGAATACGAGACCCTTAAGGATTATTACTCTCGATTCAGCACGATTGTTGTCGAGGTTACCAACCTAACCACAGAAAATGCAACTCATGCCCTCGTATTTGGAAAAAGCAACTCTCTTCTCCGAGCGTCACTCATAAAGTGGTGCCCCCACAACATGATGGATCTCCATGAACGGGTGTCCAAATACATTTCCCTCAATAAAACCTTACAAGAGGCAACTCCCCCAAAGCGTGCTCGGTCACCGCAAAAAAGGAAATGAGAACCCTCACCTCCACATCGTCCATACTCACCAAAGTCTCGTGACCATCAGCAAGGTCGCTCTTCGTCTAGCCAAGGCAGGGGGGCACATCTAGACAGGCGTCGGGAGGAATCAATCTCTAAGCCTGACGGACTTTCACCCCGCTAACGGAGCCCCGCAAGACCATTCTTCAGATAATCCAGGAGAAGAAGATCCCCATATCCTGGCCAAACCCCATAACAAAATAACCTCGGAAAGGGAAACACAAGTACTGTGATTTCCACCGGGGATATGGCCATGACACTGAGCGATGTTGGACATTAAAAAAATACATCGAAGACCTAGTACAGGAAGGTCATTTGAAGAAATATATTGGGAACCCGGAGAGTTGCTCTCAAGAAGCAGCACCGGTGGATCGAGGAAAGGCACCACAGGGCGGTGGGATACTCGGAGTCGTGGATGTCATCCACGGGGGCGCTGGCTTGAGCATTGCTAACAGAAAGCCACTCTCGACTTGCAGTTAAGCGACGATGGGGTCAACATCATCTATCGCGGGGACTCCAACAATTTCCTTTGATGTCCAAGACTAGGACGGAGTCGCCCACCCCCATGATGACCCGCTAATGATTGAGGCTGTGATTGCAGACTACAAGGTCAAATGAATCTTGGTGGATGGAGGTAGCTCGGCGGATCTCCTGTTTTACCCTGCTTACCTCTCCCTGGGGTACCGCCCAGACCAATGCCAGCCCACCAAAATTTGCTTGGTCGGTTTCTCAGGAACTCAGGTATCCGTGATCAGGACGCTCCCACTACGTGTTTGTGTTGGGGAAAGGGGCCAAATTGCAGAGACTGTCACCAACTTTCACATCGTAGATTGCCCATCAGTATACAATTGCATTCTAGGGCGACCTTTTTTACATCAACTTCGGGCAGTCCCCTCCACATTCCATCTCCGCCTTAAGTTTCCAACAAACACTGGCATTGGATGTGTTCGGGGAGATCAAGCTCTTGCCAAACAGTGTTGCACACTTTCTTTACAAAAGAAAGCAGTTGTCAACATTGATGCCCGAGAAGAAGGCATTCGTCCCGTTCTTGTTGACCCCGATGAGGATTTCCCTATCTCTGAAGGGCACACTGTTCTCGTATCTACAACATGGCCTCGTGAGGCACTTCAATCTCTTTTGACCCTTCTCCAAGAGTTTGAAGAGGTTTTTGCCTGGGGGCTAGAGGACATGCCCGGCGTCGACCGCCAGGTGGCAGAGCATGCACTTGGAATTGCACCTGGCAGCCGCCCCATCCAACAAAAGCGACACAATTTTGCTTGGGAAAGACTGGTGGACCGCGTTTTTGCCCGTCAGCTAGGGAGAAATCTGGAAGCTTATGTCGATGACATCTTGATAAAAAATGAGGGTGTATATGAGCACCTAGAGGACTTGAGGGAGCCCCTCACCACTATGAGCCTATACCACCTTCGCTTTAACCCAAAGAAGTGTGTCTTTGGGGCCACCGCTGGGAAGTTTCTTGGTTTCATGCTCACTCAAAGGGGTATCGAGGCCAACCTACGTCAAATCCATGCCATTCTCCAAATGTCACCACCAACCAAAGGAAGGGAAGTCCAAATCCTCATGGGACAGATCACCGCCCTCAACGAATTCATCGCCCGTTCCGGAGATTGGTGCGCTCCATTCTTTGCTACTTTCAAAGGGGCTAGTAAAACCTTTGTATGGACACTTGAGTGTGAGAAGGCATCGAAGAGTTAAAAAATTACTTGGTCACTCCTCCTGTACTCTCCACCCCTCTGAATAATGAACTCTATCTTTACATTGCCATGTCGCCTAAGGGGGGTTAGTGCAGTCTTTGTATGGAAAAACCACAACGGGCGAGAACAACCTGTATACTACACAAGCAAAACGCTCCTGGATGCTGAGACAAGATACAAACCGGATGAGCAAGCTGCACTCGCCGTAGTCGTCGCCTCTAAAAAACTGCGCACCTACTTCCAAAGTCATGCCATTTGTGTCCTAACACACCTCCCTCTTAGACGCCTTCTCCAAAAAATGGACATCTCTGGACGAATAGTCAATTGGGCATACAGTTGAGTGAGTTTGATATCACCTTCCTTCCCCCGAACATCCATCAAATCACAAGTACTTCTGTAACACCCTACCCTATACGTTTTGCCTAATCATATTGTTCATACAATTGCAGCGGAATTAATCTTGGGTGTTACATTAATTATCAAAATTTACCCAAATAAAATTTCGACATGAATTACTCGCGTAATGGGCTAACAGTCCTTGTAACTAAAACCTGCAAAATAATTTATCTGAATCCATGCATTCAATGACAAACATATATACTAACAACCCTATACATGGACTTTCATAGCCATAGTCACAGTTTCATACTATAGAACTGCATACCAAACTTATACATACCATAATCGTCACAACTTACACAGTTACACAACATATACCCATATCGTCAACTTTCCACACCTGTGGATATCTCACACTGCATCAGAAGCTAGTATGCACATGAAAAACGTTCTCAAAACATTTTTACAAAAAGGTGTGGATCACTGGCCAAGATCCCGAGTAGTAGTCCAAGCACAGAATAGTTGAAGACCATACCTCATCCTGCCTTCAACTCTTGCTCAGCTCTCACCTATACACCTATCTACTGCTGCTGCTGATGATCTGCTTACACATGGCATAAGCAGAGAAGAAGAATAAAAGAGGGTCAGCTCATGGCTGAGTGAGATAATCATAGCATCGTGAGTTCATAACATAGCATACCCCTATCATACATCTAACAATCAAGCCAAAACACTAGGATCGGACCTCAGCCATCCTCATATCCCAATAGTCAAAAGACTCAACCACCTTGACTTATGCATATGCATCTTATCATGTTTTAATCATAGGCGCCTGGCTACTCCCATGCTAATAACTCTCCCGGGAAACATACCCCACATCCCGTCGGATGTAGTCATACATACCCCAACATCCCGTCGGATGTGGTCATACATACCCTACACCACTATGGGTGTAGTCATACCCCGACACCGCTATGGGTGTGGTCATATCTCGTAAGAATTCTTCAGTCACCACCACATGAGAGGTGTGACTATCATACATATCATAATAGAGTAATAGCATAGGGAGCCCTAATTACTATGTAGTTGACCGTGAGACCACAACACTCATATTTGGTATCCTTATACATGATTCATATCTCATCTTGCTTAATCATAATTCGTTACTTGCACATGTACTTGACCAGGCCACAATTGGCTCAACATAGGTAAATCAGGAGTCGTATAATTGCACTTCCTCGGGATAAACCCTCGTGCAAGTCATCCTCCTTAAAACATCATAATATCACCTTGGGAAGTTTATTTCCCCCACTTGTGAATCCAAATACAACCACAATATCACATCATATCAAAACACCTGATCGAACAACCATGAATTCATAACAACGGTTAAGCCACAAATGGCAACATGTATGCAATCATCAACATAAACAAGGTCCATATCGGCTAGGGCAAATCAATAATATCATACAACAGTCCAGGGTTCATCATATAACACAAAAGTCCATACACCCCTAATCATGCCATTCTAGTTCACCTAGGTCAATTCTAAGCATCAATATAATTATCGTGATACGACAAACCCGGTATGCCGTGCTAATCCCTCACCAGTTATGGTCGTTCAAACACCGGTTTAACCTTCCCGTACTAAAACGTCAATTTCACGAACGAACCCCGAATTAAAATCCGAGACCGTCCTAATATCCCCTGCAGTATCCCCGTCAATATTAGTTCTAGGCTCCGAGTCAAATTCTCGATAAAAACACATCAAACCCTGACCGGAGCTAAATTCAGCGATCCCGGCTACGACCTAAATAATTGTCGAAATTCATGGATTAGAACTAGAGGATTGATTACCTCACTGCAGGAAGCTCGTATATGAAATTTGGACTTAATCCGACTTTTGGATACTCCAAAACTCCAAATTCCTTCAACCGGAACCCTAAGGAATTTGCGAACCAAAAGAGCTATATAAACCCATAAACTTATCAATTATACGGTATGGAAGAATTATATGTCACTTACATGGTTTTTTTTTCTCACCTTAAAAAAAATATCCTAGAACTGGTCGAGGTTTCTTCGACCTCTCGGTGCGCGCTCTCTGTTCACTCGGCAGGGGAAGTGAGAAATGGAAGATGGAAATGGATCAGAGGGAATTTTTTAGATGTATTTATATAATTGTAGCAGTTGCAAGTCCCGCTACTTTATTAAAGTCCCTCTCCTAGTGACACACAAGCATCTGTATGTTAAATTAACATATAATTAATTAATATATATTACTATATATTTAAATATAGTAATTGGTCCTTATCCGATCGATTGATAATCCGATTTTTATAGAAATATTATCAAAACGCTCGATTTTAAATCGCAAACTTTCTAGCGATCGAGATATGGGTTTTGCCGGAACGGGATGTTACAACTTCCTGATTTTGTTGTCGAAGGAGTAAGTTTTGCTCTCCACCAGAATCTGAAACATGGCAGTTGTATGTTGATGGAGCCTCTAACAAGTCTGGTGTTGGGGCGGGCATCCTGCTAATAAGCCCACTGGGTGTCACTCACGAGCTCGCCATCAGGTTCACCACCCCAAAAACAAACAATGCAGCCGAATATGAGGCCATACTAGCCGGGTTATCCATGGCGCAAAAGCTGGGGGTGCAACGAGTACTTGTCGAGTCTGATTCAGCACTCGTAGTCAATCAAGTCACGAGGGACTTTGAAACTCGAGAACCGACACTTGCCACCTACGTTGGGGCGGTGCGAGCAGCTCTTGATGACTTTGCTCATGCACAAATCATCCATATTGCTCTTGAAGATAATCTCCATGCTGATGCGCTCTCCAAGTTAGCAACCGCTAGAGATTTCGTAGATGAGCGACACATGATAGTGGAGCGTCGCCCAACGTTATTGTGTGCTCAGGCAGAAATGGGTCCCCTCCAACATGATTGGCGTAGACCCCTCCTAGAATACCTCCGCAACAGAATCCTTCCTAGTGACCCAAAGCAGGCCATTCGCCTGAAATGGAGGGCCCCTTTCTACACATTGATTGAAAATGACTTTATCGAAAGAGTTTTACTGACCCAAACCTGTGGTGTCTTAGTAAAGGGGAAGCCTATTTTTTCCTTCAGCAAGTCCATGAGGGATCGTGTGCCATGCACGTAGGTTCACAAAGTTTGGAAAAACCCTCCTTCGTCAAGGTTATTATTAGCCAACACTTCGTCGAGATGCCAATGCATACGTCAAAGCATGTCCTAAGTGTAAGGTGGCGGCCCATGTTCCTCATGTGCCAACCGCACCCATGCAAGGCAATCTCAGCCCTTGGCCTTTCTCCCAATGGGGGATGGATTTTCTTGGCCCCTTTCCTAGAGCTCCCGGCAATAAGAAGTGGCTTATAGTCACAATCGACTATTTCACTAAATGGATCGAAGCAGAAGCTCTCACGGGAATGATGGCTCAAAAGGTTCGGAAATTCTTATGGAATAATATAATATGTCGGTTCAGCCTCCCTCACACAATTATGCTCGACCAAGGCACCAATTCTAGAGTGAGGAGCTCCAAACTTATTGTGCTCGTTACGGAATCCTCCTCAGATATGGTTCTGTTGCCTACCCACAAGCCAATGGTCAGGCCGAGTCTGCCAACAAGAGTATCATGTGGGGATTAAAACCCTGTTTGGATACTGCTAAGGGAAGATGAGTCGAGGAGCTTCCGCATGTTTTATGGGCTCACAGGACCGCCTACAAGAACGCCACCGGTGATACGCCTTATGCGCTCACATATGGTACTGATGATGTGCTGCCAATCGAGATGGAGTTAGCCTCAGATCGGATATTGTCCTTCAACCCAAGCACCAACCTACATGAGCTCACGCACAACCTGGACCTGCCAGAGGAACGATGTGAGGACGCCCGACTCCGCCTCGTTGCTTCCCAAGACCGAGTTGCAAGTTACTACAACTCCAAGGTGAAGCAGCGCCCGCTCCAAGTGGGTGATTGGGTTCTAAGGAGAAACTTCCGCTCTGATCCCCGCTAGGGAAAGTTCACTCCCAAGTGGGAAGGACCATATAAGGTGAGGGAAGTTGTCGGCCCCAACACCGTTAAACTGGAGGACATCGAAGGCAATCATATGTCAAAAACTTGGAACTCCATGCACTTACGATGCTACTTCACCCCAATGTAATAATGTATCCCGAATTAAATTCTAGTGTATGATGAAATAAAAGGGTGCTTCAGCGCACTTCTTAACTTGTTCCATGGTAGTTTATAACAAAACCAACGAGAAATAAAGGATACATAAGAAGAATAAGAAAATGTCATATCTCAACCTACTCAAACCCAGGAGGGCGAGGGGGAAAACATGAAGGGTAGATGGGAGACCCGAGAAATGAATAGCTAGCAGGTCTAGGTGCTCCAAGTCCTCCACCCCCACACTGGTCGAGCTTGCAAGATTGCTAATATGTTGCCCAAAGGATCCCAGAGAACCCTAAGAATGGGTCCCAGGGTTGAGAGACCTCCTAACCGAGATCGCTCCACATGAAGCACCCGCTCCACCTGAAACACCCGCTCCGCCCAAGCACCTGCTCCACCTGAAGCTCCCGCTCCACATGAAGCAACGGTCATCATCACCATCATATCCGCCCTTCGTGTGACCTCAGCTCTAAGGAAGTCCTCATCCAAGTGGATCGTCGAGGAGTAGTCACGAAGAACGTCCATGGCTAACTGAAAGAACTGAGTAGCTACTCTAGACATGAACTCCCTATGTCGTGTCGCCTGATGCTCCAGCCGACCAGAATGGGCCCTCTCTCGAGCAATAATCTCCTCGGACTCCCCAACTGCCGCCATCTGCTGACCTAAGAAAAACCTCACCTCAGCTAAAGCGGCCTGATCTTTCTCACGACCGCTCCTCTCTTGCTCTACTTGACGACGCATATTCACCAGCTGAGACTCTAGATCCTGAACATAGGCATCCCTAACTCGAAGCCTCTAATCCTCCAATATGCGCTCGACCCTATCAGTAGCCTCACGTGCTGTCCGAGGCCCTAAAGTTTGTAAAGAAGCCACCACATGCAGCAACTATAAGCAAGAAAGAAGTAAATACCAATAAAGAGAAACATGACAAAATTGAGTTGGCTAGAGAGATACCTGCATGGTAGAAGCCAAGATAGAAGCATCCATATCATCCCTTCCCCAACAAAGAGAAACATTACAAAATTGGGTTGGCTAGAGAGATACCTGCTCTCCATCACGTCTGTTCCTTATCCGGTCTGGATCTCCTGGAAAGCCCTTGAAGGATCCGCTCGGGCAGACATGAAGAATGATCCTAATGGTGAACGACCTCCATCTGAACCACCCGTAGGTCTCGTGGGTTCCGGACCTAGAGATCGAGTTCCTGCTGCTGATGAAAGCACCACGGTGTGAGACTGAACTAGCCCCACCATGCTACCCTCGCGACTAGCAGCTACACTAGGCGCATCCCCCATAAACTCTCCACGCGGTATCCCTACACTATCCCCCGTTGGCTCAGAAATGAGCAATCTACCACGACCTCGAGATGCCTCCTCCTATGACTCCAGGAAAATTCTCATCCTTCGACTATTCTCCTGGTCCCCCATAGATGAATCACCCTGAACACGAGAAAGAGAACCCTCTCGGGTAGTCGGGGTAAGACTCGAAAAGCATTGCGCAAGCGAGACATCTCACTTTCCACTAATGACGGACCAACCAGGGTCACTAGGACCACTGGAGCGGTCCCCTGGGGATACGTCTCCACCAGTAGGCATATGTGAATCCCCTGTGTATCGCTAACCTGTGAGGTATTGTGAATGTCCTATGGAGTGGCAACATCAGCTCCCACGATCCTCCCGTTAGATGCAGAAGCCTCCCCTCCTCCCTCTGCATCTCTCTCCTCAACCACCTCCTCGATCATTCCTTCCACAACCACCCCACTATCCTCAACTGCAATCCCTACTCGGCTGGTCACTTCTGCCTCCTCAACATGATATGTCTCCCTCATATCACGAGCATAATCCATTGACTTCGTAGTAATCACTAGCGTATCACAAAAATATGCCTATCTCACTAATTATGGTGATCTAAACTAGATTCTTTGTACCGTCGTGTGAAGAAAATGAGAAGGCAAGTTTAAGACATACCTTATACGATGGAATGAGACGAAATGCCCCTTCACCTCCCGCTTCAAAATGACACTGCCACCTGGTATGGTGGGAAAGGATGGATTCAATGAAGGATGTCAGAGTTTGCAGTGGGCAAAGGAGTGGGGAAAGAGTGGAGGGGAATGGGGCAGAGGAATGGGAGAAGTGAAGGATGGGGAGGAGGTGGGAAAAGTGAGGGATGGGGAAGAGGTGGGAGAAGTGGCTTTATATAGCCACACCAGTCCACCTTCCAACACCTCAACACTTGTGACGTAATAAATACGACACAATTTCCCGGTGGTCAACTCTCTATATTTGCGAGACATTAACCTGGCACAATTTCCACCAAGTCAAACACCATAACCATTAATATGGTGAAGAACACATTAATCATCTCATCTTCCTCCACTAGCTTTGATAAACCCTTACCCTCCGCTCGAGATACCGAGCCTTCGCGCGTGATACCGATACACGAATTGGCTTGGACTCCATCAGATAAGGAAAAGTGTTAGTAAAACATGGATCCACATTAAACCATTGGCCTAACAAATGGCAAAAGGATAGAATTGCCGATGGAAAATTTTGATAAAATTAAAATCCCAACCGGCAAGGGCGCCAACTGGTAGACCCTAAGAATATTTTATTTTATTGGACGGAAACAACCCCACACTGCGGCCATCCTGGGGTCAAATATCTTGGGTCACCTAGCCCACCCCGAGGTCACTCCGGCCACCCGGGGTCCAATACCTTGGGCCACCTTGGGGTCACTCAGGACACCCCGGGGTCAAATACCTTGGGTCACCTAGGGTCACTCCGGCCACCCAGGGTAAAATACCTTGGGTCACCTTGGGGTCACTCCAGCCACCCCGGGGTCAAATACCTTGGGTCACCTAGCCCACCCCTGGGTCACTCTAGTCATCCGAGGTCAAATACCTTGAGTCACCTTGGGGTCACTCCGGCCACCCAGGGTCAAATACCTTGGGGTCACTTCGGCCACCACAGAGTCAAATGCCTTGGGTCAACTAAACCACCCCGGGGTCACTCCGGTCATCCGGGGTCAAATACCTTTAGTCACCTTGGGGTCACTCCGACCACCCAGGGTCAAATACCTTGGGTCACCTTGGGGTCACTCCGGCCACCCCGAGGTCAAATACCTTGGGTCACCTAGCCCATCCCGGGGTCACTCCGGTCACCCGGGTCAAATACCTTGGGTCACCTTGAGGTCACTCCGGCCACCCCAGAATCAAATACCTTGGGTCACCTTGGGGTCACTCCGGCCACCCCGTGGTCAACTCCCCTGGGTCAACTCGGTTACCTTGGGCTCTCCGCCCACCCCAGGTCACCTCAACCTTTAGCCACATACCCCCGCAATGTGTCCTTCCACCACACCACCAAGCTCTCGAAGGAGACACGTACTCCCTTCATGTTCGCCTGGGGGCCTCTATAAAAGGCCACTTTGTCTCCGAACTGAGGTAAGCAAAAATCCCCATGCCTAAACCCGTGAACTCGCGCTATGGTTAGCGTAGATGTTCATTTTCTACTTCATCCCTTCATCTTTCTATTTGAGGTCGTATTCCTCTCCACTCAACCCACTCACTATCTTGAGCGTCGGAGAGTGTCCTCGCTGAGATCGGCCGGCGGACCCTTTTTGCACGAGGCGACCGGAGCCGACCTCACAAGTGAAGTTCGAGGTGAAAGGTGGTCGTCGACCGACTCCGGTGCCTAACAAAGTTACAAACATTATAAAAAAAACTCGACGTCGGCTACAACCCCGACATCAACAATAACAAAGTTACAAACATTATAAAAAAAAAAACCAGATAAACATTACAAAATAACAAAGCATACTAACATTACAAAATAAATCGACAAACAATACAAAGTATACTAACCGTATAAAATGTCACTAAAAATGACAAACAAGAATGATAAACAATACCAAACAAATCGATACTAACATTACAAACCAGACTTACAAACATTACGAAATATGTCAATAAAATCACAAATCTAGCACTGTCGACGAAAAATCCATCTCTGTTGTCGCCGGTCGCCGAAAAGTCTCCTCCACCGGAAGAATCTCTCTCTCTCTCTCTCTCTCTCTCGTTCGCAATTGGGAGATTGGGGGAAAATTACCCAGCAAAGGAATAAAGAGCAAAAAGTAATAAAAGTGGCCGGTGGGATTATTCCCAACACCGGCAAGAGCAAAAGTAAACCGCCAGAGGGAATATGTGCGACACCGAGAAGGTCCGCCGGGAAGGGACGCAGGGACGCCGGAGATTGGTCGCCGCCGGGAAAGGGATGCAGGGACGCCAGAGATTTGTCGTCGCTGGGAAGGTCCGCCGACCAAGCTTGCCACCGGGAAAGGACGCGTGCAGAACGTCGGAAGGGAGAAGGATTTGTTAGAATTATTTAATAATTAAAAATTAAATAAATCACGTAATTACCATATTATCCTTCATTAAATTAGATTACTTAGAACCATTAGATTCAAATGTGGTGCAATGGTTGAGATCGACTTAGGCAAGTGACTAAGGGACCCCCTTAGTCACCTCATTTTATCCCGTTAGAGATAGACTCATTGGCCGTCGTGAAGTTTCACCCTCCTTATCATCATCCGTGTTCACACTAGACAAGACAGTATTGAATCAAGTGAGTATTGAGTTTGAAGATGGAGACAGGCTCAAACCAAGACTGCAGATCACTGAAGAATTACATATTCATGGTTGTCGTGTTTGGAAGAGTGCTCTCAATGTGAAGCCATGTGGTGGATCTGTGAACCATTATTACTTGGTAAATCGACTTCACACCATGTGGAAACCAATGGGTGGTATGGAGATTATAGCCTTGGGAAACAGGTATTCTGGAGTAAAGTTCGATTATCCAAAAAATCTTACAAGAGTCCTTGCTGGTGGCCCCTATGTTGTTCCCGGAAGTTTCTTGGCAATACAAATGTGGTTGCCAGGCTTTGACTCTTTCTCCGCCCGTGTCACCACCCTACTCACATGGGTTCGTTTTACTCACTTCCTAATGGAGTACTATAGAGACGAAATCCTGTACAAGCTGGCCTTCTAGGTGGGACGTCCAGTTCGTATAGATCGGCAGATAACATTTGCAATCTCAAGGCGTTTTGCAAAGATTTGTGTTGAGGTTAATCTTAAAGAACCTCTTGTCCCAAAAGATTGGTTGGCTAATTGTTTACACCAAAATAATTTTCATTATTTATTACCTGTATGAACAGCTTGGCCAATATAAGTAGATGGTCCATGTGTATAGGGATGATCCAATTTATCAAGTTGGGTCGTAGGATTAAAGGATGGTAGTGTCCAATATCATGGATACCATCCAAATCAATAATGGATGGTAGTGTCCAATATCATGGATACCATCCAAATCCAATAATGGATGATAGTGTCCAATATCATGGTTATCATCCAAATCCAATAATGGATGGTAGTGTCCAACATCATGGATCCCATCCAAATCCCATAATGGATGGTAGTGTCCAATATCATGGATATCATCCAAATTCCATTATGGATGGTAGTGTCCAACATCATGGACACCATCTAAACCCTATGATGAATGGTACCATCCAAGATCAGGGACACCATCCAAACTCAAAGTGGATTGTGCCATCCAACAACATGGATACTATCCAAGTTATGTGGTGTATGGTGACCATCTAATTGTTCATCCATGGTACGTAGGGTTGATTGTCAAGGGACATGATGACGTGTCGAAGGTGGTTACAAGAAGCAGCAGCTGACTTGCAAAGGACGCTCGGAGGAGTTACTAGATGCTACGTGGAGCTTATTTTTGGGAAGAAGAGAGAAGGCGGTTAGAGGGCGAGACACAACAAAACTGGCAACAAGAATCAGGAGAAGGGACATACAAATTAAATCACAAATATTCTCGTCAAATTTATTTTTTCTCTCTAGAACAGTAACCATAGTACTAGCATCAGGGACCCTCCAACGAGGCTTCTCTATTAGTTGTAGTCAGTAGTTGCGGAGATCTGAAGGAATCTACATAGGAATAGAGGTAAAAGTAGCTAGATGCTTTGATGTATGCATCGAACACTCTCGTTCGAATAGTGTTTGAAGAGGTGTGGACTGAGTAACATCGTTTTATATTTTCTTGAAGTCACGGGGGTATTGATCATGCGAAATTCCACATAAAACAAATTGGCACACCTTATGGGACAACATGTGTTCGATATGGCTCCGCGACGAAGGATTTAGGATAGTGATCCTCCACAAGGTTTTGTGGAGGAGGGGAAGTTGGTTAACGTTGAAATTGACCAACCAGGAGGACACAATGCTAGAGCAGAGGCGCCAAACATAGTGCCCAATGCAGATCCAAGCGAGGTAGCACCATCAATTCGCCAAATGGTGGAGGAGACTCACCAACTGGTGGTTGGAATGAACAGAGACTACCATCAGGTAACTCTTCGTCTTGCTTCTTTGGATGAGCGTATTGATGGTTTGATTTCACGTAATGATAGAAGATTTGCTCAATTATTTGAGTTGGTAAACAAAAATACGAATGATTTGGGTGAGTTTAGGCAATTGTTGAACATACCCGTTTTTACAAACTAGGGCTTTATATTCTGATGGTCGAGACTTTCAAAATCTTGAAAATGAAAACGCTAGTCTACCATCTAATGATGGTGGTCGAGGTGAGCCGCCATGCCTAGTGAACCCTACCCCACTGGTGGCAACCTCCGTACCAACACCTCAAAGGGTGAATGTCTGCGAGAGTCACACACTTCATCTCAGATCCTTATTGAGCAACCTCCACCTGTGAAAGGTGTTGCTCGACAAAACATTCCAGAAGCTAGACCATACATGGCTCCGATTAATGTTGGGATGGGTTTGGGTCCAAACAATGTTGACCCGATACCACCACGTGTGTACCCGCAGCAAATCCCACCCCTTGTGAACATGCAAGGAGTAGATCCTGGTAGTTGCATACCACTTGGGGGGAAACAAGGGGAGCAAAATGTTAATACACTGCGTGATCAGATGACATAGTTGTTGGCTGAACAATTTGGTTTTGGTATGAGACCAACGATGCCACCTGTCTATCGAAAGCCGTATCCGAAGTGGGTGGATAGAATGTATCCGTTCCCAAGAGGGTTTAGGGTACCAGAGTTTGTACCTTTTACTAGAACTGGTGACCAATCCACAGTGGAACATGTTGGACGATTCACTATCCAATGTGGTGATGTGGGTGATTTTGTCAAGCTATGTTTGTTTGGCAACTCTTTGATA